TTTGAAAAGTGGCATTTTTGTAAAGATTTCAAAAGTGTGGCATTTTTGTAAAGTGGCACTTAGAAAGTGGCATTTTTTGAAATTTTTCAAGATATACACGTATTTTACAAACTTAACTTTATCATCATCCAATCAAATATTATATATATATATGGATCACCACCGCTATGTATACATATGAAAAATACACTTTGCTATACAATACTTCGCTTTTAATTCGGTTACTTCATCACATTTTTTTTTTATCGTAGTTCATCACAATTTGAAAGAAGTTGTAGTTCATTAGAGTTGTTTGATTATGTAAGTGCGATCTAGTTTTATAATATCATTGTCAAAGTGTTTTCAAGAAATCGAGATGGTGACGAAAGAGTATTTTGATATATATATTATGGAGCTAAATAACATAATTAATATTTCTTTTAAGGAGCTTAATTATAAGAAGAATCAAATCTTATATTCTCTTTTCTAAGGACAAGTAAAATGATGATTTGTATTTTGATTTTTAATTAAAAAATAATGCGATATTTATTTCTGGTTTTTCTTATTAAAAAAAAAAATTATAAAATGGATTTTAATTTGAATATTTTCGTAATTTTAAGTATGAAATATGTTATTTTTTAAAAATTTCTAAAAATGGTTTAGTTTTCAAAACAAAAAAAATTTGAGATTATTTCTACAAATTTCCTCTAATTTTTACCATTATCAAATGGTATTAGAATTAACATAATTTGTTTTTTTTTTGCTAAAGAAACATAATTGTTGCCGCACCTGCACCGAATACGACTTGTGGCATTTGGGTTGGGTTATACTTATACCTTTTGACATTTAAATTTTCTAGTGGACTACCTTTCAGAATTAGTTATAGAATGATGGCGACTTCTTATTGTCATTATCCAAATTTTCATATTAAATGTTGAATGTATAATGATTCAGAAAATCATGTTTATGTAAAATAATCCATACTACATAGGTCATTTGATTATTGTTCACGATATGGGATCTATAGGACCACAATTTGATATTGTTCTAATCTAAAAAATTAGGTATGGGTATAAAATTTTATACAATTTTCGTAATTTGGTATTTTAAATATTTTGATTCAAATATTTTTCATTTTATAGGTTACTTTTTTGTAGATTTTAGAGAAAAAACAGTTTTAAGTACAA